CATTTAGCAAAAGCCACCTGGTTAGTCAACACCAGGGGATCTGCCAACCAAGCTGGCCCTGCTCAGTCAAACCTGTAATGCACATAAAAAATATGCTGGGGAAGACAGTCTGGGTTATTCCTGCCTCAGGCAAAGGAAAACCCATTTGTGGGATTGCTTTTGCTCAAAGCCCTGGGTGCACTTGGTGGGTAATGCAAAATAATGGGAAAGTCTGATGTGTACCTCAAGGGGATTTGATTTTGGGTGAGAATAGCCAATGAACTGAATGGTACGATGTTAAATGCTATATAATACTGTATGTAATCACTTTTATGATTGCTATATGTTGTATCAATGGTATTACAGTAAGAATCGCCCAGATTAATGAAGAACGAACTTTGATGAAACTGGCTTCAGCATGGCAATGCAGCATGACACACCATCCCTTCTGCCCTAAGAGACTGCTATGACAGATGGAGCCCAAAGTCACGGACTAAATGAACTCAACAGACATTTTAGAGGGACAGGCCATAGACTAAGGGAATGGTATTTCTGCATGCATGTATCAAAAGACAGGAAAAGTGGGATGCGTTGGGAAGTGCAGGACCTGGGCATGGCATAAATGGTATAGAATAAGGGTTGGAAACTATCCTCATTTCAGCTGGGATAGAGTTAATTTTCTTCCTAGTAGCTGGTATAGTGCTGTGTTTTGGATTTAAGATGAGAAGGTAGTGGATACCACACTGATGGTTTATTTGTTGCTGAGCAGTGCTTACACCAGTCAAGGACTTTTCAGCTTCCCCTGCTCTGCCAGGTGCACAAGAAGCTGGGAGGGGGCACAGCCAGGACAGCTGACCCCAACTGGCCAAAGGGATATTCCATACCATGACATCATGCTCAGTATAGAAACTGGGGGGAATTGGCCAGGGGACCGCAATCGCTGCTCAAGGAGGGCCTGGGCATTGGTCAGCAGGTGGTGAGCAACTGCATCGTGCATCACTTTGTTTTGTACATTCTCTTATAATTCTTCTTATTATTATTTTCCTCTGCTGTTTTATTAAACTGTCTTTATCTCATGGGTTTTACTTTTTTTCCCCAATTCTCTCCCCCATGCCACTGGGAAGCGGGGGAGTGAGCAAACAGCTGTGTGCTATTCAACTGCCTGTTGGGTTAAACCACAAGACAAGACAAGAACAATTGTTCTTACAAAACTGAAATATGCGATTGCAGAACTCTTAACAACTAACTGTGTGGGGCAGCCATAGGTTCCAAAATTGCTTTTATTTTAAAATTCAGTTTGACAGTTGCTTTGACATCTGCTACAACAACAAATGGAAATACCATTTGCCAAGAGACAGGCTAGCTGCTTTAGGTCTTCAGGGTCTCAGATAATCCTTTCCCAAGACCCACAAGCCTCCTGAATAGCTGGTTTTTTACATCTTTACAGCCTCACATATTCCCTTTCCTCTCTTTCCTCTCACCCTTAGAAACAACAGACCTTTAGTTCTCCTTTCCCTCAGAGCAGCAGGAAGTACAGAACTCTTTCTGTAGCTACAATTCAAAAAGTTCAGTCAACACAAAGGGAGATAAAACTGATTAAAAAAATGAACAGTTGCTTGTTGAACACACTAAGATCAAACAACGTCTTCAGCTTTAATCAATTTTTAACACCCATTCAACTCTTTATTTTTAAAACATTCTATCTTTATTTCATACACGGAAGGTACTAAGTAGCACAGTATCTACAGGCTCTTTTCTATTAACTGTTTCTTAGTAACAACTGATGCACGCTTGTTGACAAGGAATATTCCTTACTTGTAAAAAGTATGGAGCGGAGAGAGAAGTATAGTTTGCAGGAAAAGCAGTAAATGTTGATGTGCTGAAGATGACAGCAAAGAGGATCACAATCTCAGCACGTTATGTTCCCTGTGCATCTAAGATCCAAATGCACCGTCCCTGGGCAGCAAGTGCAGGACACGCGCTCCGTGCCTCCCTCCGTGGGCTCTCCCCAGTCCACCAGTGTCCTCACTAATCAAATTCTAGATGAGGAGGTCTGCTGAAAACAAACAAAAAACCCCACCCAAAACAAAATAAAAAAGCACTGTGGTTTGCAGACTCTGTGTGAGTCACTATGAGTAGCTGTTCGTAATTCTTCAAGTGTGTCTGTGCTAATACTACAAGATTTGGTGTCTGATCTTGCAGCAGGCTAAGGATCACAGCTCTTGGGAAAAAAAAAGTAAAGACATTATTCCAAGTAGCTGTCTTATAAATTTCAGAAAATAGGGATGTTCCTCAAGCATGAAGAGGATGAAGTCTGTGCTTTAGTCAGCTTTAATGTTGATGGGAGAGGTTTATCAGCCATATGGTAGCAGGCTGATATACATTGACTAATCCATTTTGAAATCCTAAGACAGAAAATAGCTTGCCCTTTTACAAGTGCCAAAAATAGACATAAAAATATGAAGCAACAGCTTAAAAGGTTTTGCCTTATTGAGGCAATACAAAGAAGCCTGAAGTATGGAGTGTGAAATTTTTTCCCTTCCAAAATCAATGGTCTTTTGGGGAAGAAATAAAAATAAATCACATTCACAGATGGTGTGAGGAGAAAGCTTTAGGTGATTGCCCCCACACCTCCTCAGCCTTATAGAGGGTAGCTGACAGGAGCCAGCAGCAGCTCAGCACACCACCCTCACCGAGCCCAGGCCTGTGTCAGCCACAATGTGGACCCATGGTAAACCCAGAGCTGCCAGAGCACCAGCTGCACTGCCTCTCACCGGCAGAGACACAGCACGCAGGGGAACAGTTTTTTCCATGTTATGGAGAGTTACTGCCTTTTAGATATGTTGGGATGAACTAACATTAGCTGGAGAAACTGGGATAAGGAAGAAGATGGATGTATTGACTAGCAGCAGGACAAAGCTGTGTAGCAATATTGCGCTTTACGTGGTCTATATATGAAAGCACACAAAAAAGGAGGACACTAGAGAGCCTAACTGATCCTCATTCATCAATCTGGTCTAGCACACGTACTCAAAGAAGAGAGATCCATGTAGCCATGTATGACCATAGAAGAACTTCAGCTCCTGTCAGAGTTGTACAGCACAATTTGGCTTAAAAGGAAGACCAATAAAAGCACAGGGTTTTTTTAAACAACATTTTCCTATTTAAAATCTGTTTTCCTCTACAATTTATTTTGATAAATCCCGCTATAATCTTTAAAATAACTTATACTAAAACTGTAAGTAATATTTGCTGTCTTTAAAACTATTGAGCAAAGACACCATCTGCAACCAGAGTTTGCTCAAGTCCGAATGGAGATCTCAACAGGAGAAGCCTCTTGTACAGGTACAGAACAATTATTTTCTTCATTCTGTCTCAAGATAGCACATTCCAGATCCCTAAAGGTGACCAGGACCTAAAAGTTGGCAGCTTGTTTCTTCCTGTATTCAAGTCAGAGCAAGAACAACAGGCACGAGGACAGCTACCAGTTCTAAAGCCTTAGAGGGCTATTACCGAAATAATCTCTTCAGTCTACAGATGACACAACCATTTGAAACAGGAAGCGTGGTGGATTTGTTTTTATGCATTTCAGTGTATTTACATTCATTAAAACTACCTTAATAATAGAGGACTCTACATTTCCATCTTAAGCCTTCAGTTGAATGGCAAGTGTAAGATACCATCATTAAGCAGCACATGTAATCATAACAAGACAGGAATTTATAAAACATACACAAAAACATTAAATAATTGCATATGCTTATCTACCTGGTCAGTAAGAAAAGCACCAGACTAAATGCAATGGCTACACATAACTACAATCAACTTGTTTTAATGAAAAACAGCTGCTGAAGAAACATTTATTTTAAACCTTTTTTTCTTATTAATCAAATACCTTTTTGCCCATCTTTTAAAATGAAAGATTTCAAACCTATTAAGTGATGGCTGAAATGCACAATTTAAGTCACATTATAGTGTTTTAAATAATTTGTAGACTTTCAGCATCCACAAATAAAAAGAAATAATTGAATGTGTTAATATGCGAGAGAGCATGTTTAATTTCAGGAAGCAATATTGACCCATTGTGTGAATATTTGCCAAGTAAGGTTCATGTTGCTATGGAACGGCACAGGTGCTGAAAATCAATTTCAGTAAAGATAATTTTCTCTTGAAAACAAGGGGCACAAGTAACAAGAGGGGAAGAACATTTATAAATTAAACCACAAATATTTGCCCTCTCCACCCAGATCCCAGGAGCACGTCATACAGCACACACCACCAATACTTCCAATGACGTGGCAAACCATAACTAGTGACCATGTTCACATGGCCCTGTAAGTTCACATATGCAACACATCCAGCATATCTCGCCTCCCCCAACCCCCCAAAAAAGCGCCTTCCTTACTGATATTTTGAACTATAATGAGTACAGCATTTGCTTTGTGATCCTTCTAATCTTTCAGTTATGCAACTTGAGGGTGAGGAGCATAATTTAGCAACAGATACATCACCCACATGAGACATGTTTTGTAAATAAGCCTGCCATTTACAACTGTAAGGTACAAGTCACCATGATGTTTTCTCCCCACCTCCCATACTGATAATAGGGCACTATGATGAAAGAATAAAGCCACTATTCGTTGTAATAATATGAAGCTGATAATACCTACTTCCAAAAACTGGATTAGGGGAAAGGAGGGGCAGGACAGCGACTGACACACAACCCCACCTAGCCCTCACAGCCCCACAGGAGGGACCCAACCTATGCCCAGTTTCCCTTCCTAGGAAGCAAAACCTTCCCTTCCAGCACTGTTTCCCAAGACATCTCCCACATCTCTTGAGGCACCCCTCTCACTTCAAGGATTCCAAAGAAAGCCTAGGAGTTATAAGGCATGAATTTTAACACGGAATCCCACGAACACACACACATGCACGCACACAAACACCGTCAACACTTCTGTAAAACAAACCTATGCCACGCAGCCTATGCTACCCTTGGCAACCTGCCCCCCGACACGCACCTGCCTGGCAGGGAGGCGACACCCGGGGGAACGGGGCACGGCCACCCGGCACAAAGCTCACAGGTGCACTTCCACGAACCAGCAAAGACGCGCGGGCGCGCACACAGCAGGTAGCCGGGGTGCTCTGAAGCGAACGGCAGCTCGGAGGCAGCTTTCAACGCCAGCGCACTGGGAAGCGGGAGCGACCCGGCCGGCCTCCGCCCGAG